TATATATATATATTTAAGGTGTGCCTAAATACAAATCTGTCTAGATCTGTCAGATTCGGTTATACATGTGCATGTTTAAAGCTTTTAGGCTGGGATAAACTGTTGCATTGCTGTAAAAAGCAGCATTGCACTATGTATGAATTAATGCATTGAAGTGCCAATTATGTTAAAGTGCATCCCAGTGCAATAAAGCAATGTACCTGCGCTGCAGTGCACCGCAACAAGATGAAGGGTTGGGTGCTGTTTTGGCTGCATTGAGGTGTATTGGTAGACCATTTTAAAATAATGTGCTGCCTTAATGTAACATGCGTTATCTCATTGTAAAAGTGTGAACCTGGCCTTAAAGATTATGCTAATGGTTCCTAGGCCTAATTTAAGTCGGGGGGGCAACCTAATAATGCACAGCTGGCTGTAACCCCCTATCAAATCAAGCTATAATTGGCATTATTCTGTTATGGCATGTCCTCTGAAAGACAAATTATTTATAAACAGCTACTGGAAGATCGGTTTCAAAATGAATACTCTGTTCTGGGATAAGTTGACACTGTAAGTGTTCCTATTCTCTGCCATTTCTTTTGTTTTCCTCTTCCTTTCTTAGTCTTATTTTCTTGTCTTTCTCCTTCCATTTCCCAGTTGTCCCCTTCCCCCCTTTTTTGGTAACAATATCCTCCTTGTTTGGGGGTCTCATTCTTTTACTTCAACATACACCCATTCTGTTATAATTGTGTAAACTACTTGCTCTTCTTTATCATTGGATGGGAAAATCAGAGTATGACAAATATTTTTGTACTGTATATCCAGTAAATTGCATTTCATATTTTATTGTACGTTTTAATATATTTACATAACCTCCTTTTTGTCTTTTCTTTCTAGTGCCTTGTGTTTGAAGATGCACCAAATGGCGTTAAGGCAGCAATGGCAGCTGGTATGCAGGTGGTCATGATTCCAGATGAAAATCTAAATCGAGATTTAACCAAGAAAGCATCTTTAGTGCTCAAATCAATGGTGGAATTTAAACCAGAATTATTTGGCTTACCACCTTATGAACAGAAATAGAAGTGTGTCGTAGTTAAAACTATTGCCATATTTTCTTTAAATAAAGTATAGTTTAAAGAATTGGTTGAAGCTTTTTAACTGAAAATAAACAAATATTTGTTCATACTACAGTTGTTTTCTTGTTACTGACACTGACATTTGCCAGAAAGTGAACACTCACAGGTTAGCACTTTGGATAGAGTCTAACAAATATACCCTTTTTTTACCCTTTGGATACAGTGAAATATAGTTAAAACTAGGGATGTCCCGATACCGATGCTAGCATCGGAATCGGGCCCGATACAAGGCATTTTGACAAGTACTTGTACTTGCCAAAATGCCCCGATGCCTAGCGCCGAAGCTTGCGCTGTTTTTTTTTTTTCTTACTTACCTCGCCGAGCATCGCGTCACGTCACTGCTGCTCCGGTGGGCCATTAACCCATTCATGTTAGCAGGGCAGAATTGTGAGCGCCTCCCACAAGCTGAGCACCGAGATGCGATTAAGCGATCCTGCCCAGCGCCGACTACGAGAGGCACCACGTGAGGCAACAGGGATCGGCATGAAACTGTGAGTGAGGGAAGCTGGGACGTGGCTGACAGTAAATCTATTGCTATAGTGTACTGGGCGTGTGTAATGTATATGTAGTACATATATAAAGCACACACCTCCACTACACTCCAGCAATAGAGTTACAATTCTCCGCTGCTAACATGAATAGGTTAAATCATGATCCATAGTACAGAACATGTAGTTGTACTATGGATCATTTAAAGTCACCTGTCCCTTTAAGAAAAAGTATCAGTAATTGGTAACGCCAAGTACATGAGGGGAAGTACTTGTACTTGGGCCTGAAAAAGTGGCATCGGGACATCCCTAGTTAAAACTTTCCAGTTTTTTTTTGTTTTGTCAGTTTAGCAAGATTTCTCTACACTTTGTGTCCTGTGCAACAATAGCTATAACAGAGATAATCTCCCCATAGCAAGGTAAATGCCTCTTAGATATTTTGTACTGGAAAAATTTTCCCTATTCAAAGATTTCCACTTTTTGTTCCGTCGTGCTTCCCCATTTTGGTCACCTGTGGACATGTGGGACTAGATTTAGAAATAGGGAAAATGGGTGCAGAGGATGTTGAGAAATTATCTGTAATTGTGGCAACATAAACCCCATCTTTCTTCTCTCTTAATTGTTTTTTTACAGTAGCTGTTAATATAAAACAGTTAGCATACTTTAGACATGCTTTATGTGTGTTTTCGGTGCATTATGCATGAGATGCTATTGACTAATGTAATGTGGTTTTACCAACATGCAACAAGCAGTTTTTTTGACAACTGCAACACACAGCTCAGCAAAGCTGGCCCCCCTACAATCTGCAACAGTGAAATTACATGAACCCGAGTTGGTTGGTTAGTGCCACGTTTGTGCTGATTTGTGCCGTAAAATTAACATTTGTGCTGCTTTATTTTTAAGATAACTGCAATTGTTTTTTTTAAAGATGATGACATCACCCAGCCCCCCTACAGCAACCAAAAGACATGAAACCAGGATGGATGGTTAATGCCACGTTTGTGCTGTAAAATTACCATTTGTGCTGCTTTTATTTTTAAGATAACTGCAATTGTTTTTTTTAAAGATGATGACATCACCCAGCCCCCCTACAGCAACCAAAAGACATGAAACCAGGATGGATGGTTAATGCCACGTTTGTGCTGTAAAATTACCATTTGTGCTGCTTTTATTTTTAAGATAACCACATTAGTTGTTTTTAAGATGATGACATCACTCAGCCCATCTAACACTGTCCAAAAAACAGTCCACAGGCTGGCTGGTTAGTGCCACAATTGTGCTGGTTTCCATTCTATCTCTTTGTTTTCAAGATATTAATGCTGCACGACCAGTGATGTACATACAGTAGTACGTCACTGGCAGCGGGTCCGTTTAAACAGACAATAGAAGTGTTCCTGACAACTCGGTTGTCGCCAGATCGCTTCTGTGGGCCAATAAACTGCCCCCTGCCATGTTTCCCGGGCTCTGCTGCCCCTCCTGCATGCCCGGGATAGCCATCTTTTTACATTGGACCCAGAGTTGTCATTTGACTGTGGGAGTTCGGTGGCATCAGATGGGTCAGCAGGTGGCAGGCCTTTTTTATTTTATTTTGGGGGCGTCAGTGGCCATCGTTCATCGTGATTGACCAGGATCTACATTGCTGGATGACACAATTGACCAGTGGATTGCATCGATCAACACTTTTTTTTACTAATAAAGGAATTGTCAAAAACTGTCTTGTGTTTGTTTTGTTTAAATTAAGGACTTTTTTGAGTGTGTTTATTTACTATTTTCTTTACAATTTGGTGAATGAGTAGGGGTATAAACTACCTTTACTTATTCACAAGGAGGGGGGCAATTGGGTGCCCCTTTTAATTAAGAGCCAACCTTTTGACAATCCACTCCCTGCTGTTTGGCCCCTTGGAGAATAGGGACAAAAAGCAGGGTATAAACTGCCGAAAGTTCGCTTCAGCCAATTCGGATGTTGCATCGATTGAAGAGAAAGCAGGCTTTTCCCTCTGGTTTGGCTAGACAAAGTTAGCACAAAGGGAGGTGAAGTGAGCCGAATACAGACAATGTATGGCTAAAAATAGCCGTACACAGCTGCAGTAAATAGCCAAACAGGGTTAGGCTCACTACACTTCGGTTCGGTTATTAATTCAGCTGCCTTCAGCAGATTAATGAATAACCACCTTAGTGACAGTAGTTTTTTTTAGGACAAATCAATTGAGTAAATTTCCCTAAAGCCCCTTTCACATGGGCACCATCCAGTCCCATCAGCAGAAAAGCCAAAGCTTTTCTTTTTGGATAGAAGTGGGAATAGTGAAAGCCTCTGTCATTTTTATTCTCCCCTTGTGCCCCACTTGCAGATAGCAATCTGGCTGGATTAGAAATAGGGACCCCTAGTTCTGCAAGGCAGAAGTGCTAACCACTACGCCATTGTGCTGTCGTTTTTTTCAGGATGTATTGATTGAAAGCTCAATGTAACCAGACATGCCCCTGTTTACATCCAATTACCCCCAACTCCATCTAGGTTTGGGAAAAAAAGAGTTCTATTTCGGCAGAATTGATCATTATGGACCCCTTTAAGGGAAAGTCACTTAGTCTGGCAGGAAGGCAATGTATAGGCTAGTGATGAGCCGAACACCCCCCCCTGTTCGGTTCGCATTCAAACTTTTCACATTGAAGAAACTCAATGTAAGTCTATAGGGGTAGAACTTTCAAAATCTGTTGACCCCATTTTGAAGACTTATTTGCAATTTAATGGCCATAAAAAGGGTATTGGGATTCGGGTACCGCCCTGGGGGACATGTGTCAATGAAAAATAAACTTAATAAAAAATACAGAGCAGCGATTTTAACATCACCTAAAGTGAAACAATACAAATAAAAAATGCCTTTAAATATCATGCTTGGTGGTCCCCTTAAACAGCCTGTAAAGTGGCAAATCTGTACGATGTATAGAACCTGCTGCAGCAAAAATGAAATTTGTAAAGAAAAAACGGCATTTAAAGAGAAAAAAAGTGTGCGGTTCTTCCTCCCAAACAATACCAGACCCTTTAGGTCTGGTAGCAATGTTAGGAGGGACCCATTACAAACAAAGTGGGGGGTTCCCCCCCTTAAAGGCATACCAGGCCCTTACTAAAAACTAAATAAGTATATATAAATAAGATTACAAATATGAGAGTATGCAATGATACACACACATACATACATACATACATACATTACAATAAAAAGGTTTGTGTTTGTAGACAGATGGGTTAGACTCAGGGCCAGAAGTGCTTGGTTGGATGTCTCCCTCCTGTGTGGCTATCTACCATAGAGTGCTGAGAGTGATGTCATTTTCTCCCAACACCATGAATGAGACGAAGAGGGAGATTGTGGGCGGCGTCAGATTGCATGTCGCAACTGCCGAGAGCTGATTTAATAGCAGATGGCATTGGCTCCCGATGGTGGTGACATGTAGTCCAACGCCAACCACAATCCTGAATACCGCAACAACTACAGGTGAAACTCGAATAATTAGAATATCATGCAAAAGTAATTGCAGTAAGTGCTGCAAAAGGGGCCCAAACCAAGTACTGAGTACATATGCATTATGCATGCTTGTACTTTTCAGAGGTCCGATATTGTTCTATGTACAATCCTTGTTTTATTTATTGCATGTAATAATCTACTTTTTTGAGGTTGTGGATTTGAGGTTCTTGGCGTTTTCATGAGCTGTAAGCCATAATCATCACAATTATGACAAATCATGGCTTGAACTATCTTGCTTTGTATGTAATGAGTCTATCTCATATATTAGTTTCACCTTTTAAGTTGCATTAGTGAAATAAATGAACTTTGCACGATATTCTAATTCGAGTTTCACCTGTAGGTGCCGATGCCATCAGCTTACAGCAGTTGTGGTATACAGGATTCGAATCCCAGAGCGGCAGCCTAATTTAGCGGGCAGGGGCGGATCCAAAGTCTAATGTCGGGAGAGGCACTACCAGAAAATAAAGGTGTTGCTTACAGAATAGAATATTGTAATAATACATTACGTTGCAGCTGTTTGTCTTTTTTTTCTACACATCCTGACATTTGTGTGTGCAGCAATGAAATCTCTGCCAAACAACATGTGGCATATCACTGTCATTAAAATGGGTCTGTCATCCACATTGCACAATACCATGTTTTGTTGCTGTAGAGCTTTGTGATACACATGATCCAGTCACAATGTGAAGGATGGAGTGCCCCAGACTTAAAGGGTTATTAAACCCTCACTTTTTTTGCATATATCTACTGCTAGCAAGCAGTAGATATATGCAGAACGATAAAAAAAACTTTTGGTAAGGGTTAATACTTACCTGTGTCTCCGCTGCACGCTCCAGTCCGAACATCTGAAAATGTATTGGGCGTCCGCAAAAGATCTTGGGGCGGGTGCATGCACAGTTCAGATGTTCGGCCTGGAGAGGAGGAGAGACACAAGGTAAGTATATGGAGCAGCGTGCACCCGCACAGACTCCATGTGACATCAGAGAAGAGGAGTCAATGCT